ATACACAACTGTTTAGTTTCAATGTCGCTGTGGTTTTTATGTTATGCAGTAATAATGCATGATAATAATACATAAATCTTAAGTATTTATCTTCAAACTAACACTATAACAGAATAGTTGACAAATAAATGATTGCGAGTTTTATTATAAAGTATTAATAGGTAAGTCAATTTATTCAACAAGTGGTAAAATTAGAAATATTGTACAACCGACTTCAATACAAATTATTAAGAATAACTCAAAAATTACTGATCAGACCTTGATCAAATTTATATGAGGCTACATGGGAAGCACTAGCTTTCAAATAAAAAAGAATTATCGAAATCGGTTCACCCAGTAAAAAGTTATGAGTTAACACACATAAAAAACATACAGTCGAATTTAGTACCGGCTCCTTTTTGAAGTCGGTAAATAAATAAAATGAGAACATCATCAAGGTAGTCGAAGCCAATTAAATACGCATTATTGAGGATAACTCAAAAACTACTGCTAAGATCTTCACCAAATTTATATGAGACCATATGAGAAGCACCATCTTTCAAATAAAAAAAATCATCAAAATCAGTCCACCTAGAAAAAAGTTCTGAAGTAACACAGATAAAAAATACAGTCTAATTGAGAACCTCCTCTTTTTTTGAAGTCGGTCGAAAATACGTAGTCTTAACTTCAGTACAAGTACAACTTCACACATAATATTGTTTTTTTTTTTACTTCTGACATGTCATTAAAAATAGAGCATAACATTTTCGAAGTCGAAACTAACAAAGGAAAGTAAACCGTCGTGGTTTGTTCGATCGATGAAAGTAAAGGCCGGTGTAGACGGGCGAGAATTCCCGTTAGCCGGCCGGGCCCCGGGCTCACGGAATACTAAACGCTGACATACTGCGCGGCTTTTGACCCTATCCACATTCTAGACTAGTACTTCACACCTCTATGCACTCGATTTATTTATCTGCTTACGAAGACTGCTAATAACTTTTATTCGGCTCAAAATTAACGGTGTCCTAAACAAACATAACATTTATTTTTAATTTAATATTAAACTTATGTTTTCTTTCCTTTATTTACAATATCCAAAACCAGATTTTAAAATCAAAACAAAACAAACGACACGAAAAAAGTGTATTCTGTAAAAGTATTAACCAAGCGTAATAAAAAGATGCACACACCTTTATTCCCGAGAAAAAATATAGAATGTGTCCATAGAGCACTATTACATTTACTGCTACAACATTATTTCGGAGCCACATCTTGGAAATTCTAGTAACTGAGCAAAAAGTCAAGGCAACTTTTTTATTCGTACTCATTATGTTTTGTTAAAATTATTGCTGGGACCTTTTGCACGTTTTCTCTGTTATTGTTATCTTGTTGCCTTTCTTGTTAAAAAGGCCCTTACAAATTTTATTTTGAGCAAAAAATGCAATTTGCGCAAATAATGTTTTTTAGCACCTCATTGTCTTCTGGCATCCGCAATAATTGTAAGGACCGTTATTGTTCAGATACGTTGAATAGCTAATTATTCTGACAACAAAAACTATTAAGTTCTCTTGCTTTCAATATTTATTACGTAGAAATAAAAATTCTGTTTTTAGGGTAATTAAATATTTGTACCAATAAAAATACGATGTTATCTTACATATGCAAAGTGTAATTTAACGTGAATATTTAATTATTTCATCGGGACAATAGCATGGACCAGGAAACTTTGGATGGATATAGGCAGGAAAGGACAACGACCCTACACAAAATTCGCTGCATTGGGCTAGGTCTAGTGCATGCGCGTATGTAGAGACGTCAACATGGGAACATCACGAGAGGGAGCGAACTACGAACCGACTCCCAGACAGAGCAGGAAAAAGGCATGAATGAGTATTGAAACCTACCCAAGAGGGGGAAATAGAGTTTGCACTGCGGGCACTACTTCCACAGATATAGACAGGCCCTACGCCATATATTGCACAAGTAAGATCAATAATGCTTATTCTATAAAGCAGCCACCTACGCTCAAAACTGTCTATTCTTGTAGACCTTTTTAAAGCGTTACCATAATATAATTTATTTTTAGCATTGTATTGGCTTTTTATTTAGAATTTATTCGTATAATTCCTTACTGTAATAAACCGAAAACATGTAAAGCAATTACTTTCCACAAAGGATGTTGTATATTGCCAATTATACTATAATAAATGTAACAACTCGGTAATACTAACAGTGTTTGACTGCGGCTCTGTGAGCTGAGAGCTTAAATCGCGGAAATTCATGTCAACTACAAATAATTATCCCAAATGTGTCAATGTGTATAAATTACATAAATTATGCTAGTCGCCTCGACAACTGAGGCATTTTCAAATAAAATCTGTGGTTCCTTACAACACAGTTTGATTTATATTGTGTGAATGACATTATAGTACCTACCAAAATTTCTGGTATGAAAAACCTAGATGTTTTTTATCTTAACTGATTATTTACAAGAAATTTTGTTAAATGCATGTACTTGTATTATTTTTCATATATAGGTGTGGCATTAAATGTCAGGGAAAATACCCCAAAATTACTAAAAGAAATGAAACAAAAAATATGCTTAATTTCGTAAGTCTTAGGAAAATTGGTGAAGGTGTCATCGACCCCTGTGCCCAATACTAATACAGTAAACGCATTTCCCCGCACACACGAGCGCAGCGTGCGATTTATTCGCGCGGCTGCGGCGCGAGTGAGTGAGATGCCGAGCGACGCCGGGCGGCGGGGCTAGCGCAGTGGGACGAGGCAATCACGGCCATTCACCCCGGAAGATTCAGTGTTTTGATACCGCACAAGCCTCCGTCGACGTTGGAAAACTGCATTTTCTTTGATGCGCTTCGCTTTTCACACTCTGATTGACCGTCAATTAGATGTGATGATTTTTTTATCAACGCACTTTTACAATAGTCTGATGCGGTTACTAATATCACGTTCACGAATAAATTTTACTTTTGACGACTTATCTTACATAATTCTTTTACGTTTTACAAATATGCACATAAACCGTAAACTTTCAGTACATTTCGTACATATTACTAAATTAAATGAAAAATTAGTTATAACTGCCGGTGACTGTGCCTTATTAATAATTATTAATAATATTATTGATTCAATTTCCTTTAAAAAGGCGTGTTTTTAAGCAGATTATTAAATATTTTACGGCTAATATGAAAATAAAAATAAACTGCGTAGATGTGACACACAAGAGACAATTATCTTATATATTTAAATTTATAACTTATCACAAAAAGGCTTAAAGTAAAGTAAAATAAGGTCCCACTGCTGGGAAAAAAGCTTCTCAGTTTAAGAGGGTTAAAAGTCTTTCTTTAATAAAATGGATACGATAAAATTGCCTTGGTAGCTCAAGGACTGATTGCTCGACATAAACTTTATAGCACAAAAGCAAACCGAGTTCGATTCCCACCGGCACTGATGAAATAGTTAATTGTAAATAACTAGATTTCTAACAAATTTATTTATTTCAAATGTGCATTTATACCAATGTAATAAGCTCAAGTAGAAAATTACAACTACAAACATGAAATACATATAAAATGAAGGATCGTGACAATAACATCATTTACTCGAGAAAGACACCTTAACCATTGGGGTAGGTCATCAGACGTGCCCGAAAAGTGCCAGACATTACGATAGGTCAGGAATCCCTTAGGTACCGAATACAACCGAAACAGCAATATAGCTATGTTCCTTCTATCCCGTAATGGTAAAATATCTGATTAAAACTACTTACATAATTATAATAATATAAAAATAATAAATAAACACTACAGCAGCAAAGTAACTTTAATAAGATCAATTATTTTAAAAATATAACATTATAAAATATTTTAAATCCTTCCTAGAAATAAAAGATAATAACATCATGTCGTCATAAAACAGAAAATAGTTTTTAACTCCTAAAAAAGAATATAAAAACTCATGAAATTAATTATTATCATAATAATGCGAAGCAATAAACAAAAAAAAATGTGAGCATGAACTGAACCACGGACAACCGTCGCGTCCGTTATTCAAAGTTCGAAGAGTTTGAGGCTGTTAACAGATTACAGGCTGTAAATAGTGAAATCAATATTGGATAATGGTAGGTGGCAGGGTGCGGCGTGGCGGTGCCGCCCGAGGAGGCAAAATACAACACCCTTACTACGAGCCGAACTCTATCCACACAATCGTGACTTTTGGATCTAAGTTTTTGTGTACTGCAGTCAAGTAAGATTTAAAAAGGTGTTTAATGAAGTTTAAGAATGATTCGAGAGTCAAAGGTAAGGGTGCGTGAAGGCTGTGTCGACGACCCGCGAGAGTGAAAGCGTGTTCCGGGGTGGCGCAAGCGAACGTCGCCCGCCCGCCCTACCATGGCTTTCGCTACCGTTCTCACGCTACCACTTTGCATCTTGTTTTCGACTTATTTTAATTAACGCTTCCCTAAATCTCATCGAATGTATTATTTGAAAATTTTATGTTACCTATATTTGTAATTTTCGTTGTCGTAATGGTGTATATTAAAAACGCTAGTTGTTAAAAAACTATTTGAGTCAGTCCGAAATGTATTGACTTATTAACCAGGGGAATATATAGAGGATATTATATATATAGGGAAGGTATAATGATAAGAGGCAAGTGTCAGTGCTCATTTTATATTAATTCTCTAAGTAACCACTGAAACTGCATTTCCCGCGGCGTTCATAGCGATCATCAATAAAGTGTAAGCGCGGATCGGGAGCACGGTCACGGCGCACACCGCGGCCGTTCGCCACACTACGGAAGTAATGAACTTGAATGCAGCTCTCGGCAGCCGCACCGCGTCACGCTATCCCGTTCTCATCTAATCGGCGAGCGCTAGGCGCGAACGTGACGTACTCACTGCACTCGTTGTCAAATTCGTCCGCATTCTCCATCACGGGCCGCTTTCGTCGTCGATGCGTTTATCGGAACGAGACGCGAATATGTGTGCCGATTGCATTCCCGACGTCGTAAAAGTGCATCTAGGTCGGTCGGCGTAGCGGCGCGGCGTCGGGTTAGTGCGACGCGCTCCGTCGCTAGACTTGGGGCAGGTCGGAGCACCGGGTTGCATGATGCGCTGCGCCCGGCCGCGGCGGCTCCCGCGCTGACCGCCAGCGGCACAGCACTGGCAGGCCGGCGGCGGGCGACATGAGAGCGGAGCGACGGCTCTGGCCTCTCGTCCCTCTGCTGACGCTCCGCATCCTCCTCGAGTACCTCAAGTCGCTCGACATCGCACCCATATGCTCTTTACCGAGTAAAAGAGTTTAAATCTCCGAACACATTTGTTTATCCGGAACAGTAAACATAAAACACTCAATCAATGTTTCTATCAAGAATACGCAAAATCCTCGTAAGTATAAAATAATATTATCAACTGCAAAAATAATTACTGGTGCCTCTTCTATTTAGTTTTCTACATTGTTAACATTTTTCTGACTCCTTTTTATTTTTTTCATTACGTAATTTTTTAACTCAATAATCATTTTATTTTCGGCCTAATCGTAGATTTAAGGAGCTAGATATATATAAACGAATATATCGTAAACAGCGCAACTATTTCTTTAACGATTAATAATTCTTGTTCATGTTTTATAACAATGGTAATAAACAATATTCGATAATATCGTAGTCAAATTACATTTATTGCAGTTAAAAGTCGATATAAAAATTTAAAAAATAATGTTGAAGTTATTTTCATTCCTTTACAGAATTTTAAAATAAAATTCCATTAAAAATTTAATGTAAATCAAAATACACATTTATAATAATAAGTAGCTTATTTTAAAAGCAATAAAAACCAAAGCAAATAATTTTTGTTCGGATAGCAAATTATATCACTGAATTATTTTCCGCATTAGTAATAGTTAACATACGGTCCTTATCTTGCCGATACTCTGTCTATTTGTAGTGGAAACATTGGCGTATTAAATATTATTATTAGACTACAAGGTTAGTCTCCCATTGCACTCTTGCATGTGCAAAATTTGTGAGCAAATATCATGGTCACATTACAAAACCTTATAGTTTTAACGTAAGAATAACTCATTAGCCTATGTACTATTATTTATCCTGTGCCTATACTATTATCTATTTTATAGATATTTACTTGGTCGTTATATGTTGTTTTATATAATATGTATTAATACGTAGTGTTTTTCCTTAAGTAAGTGCCTAAGAACATACTTATAAATATAATAAATATCTAAGTATTACAGTTTTAAGATGATCGTATTATTAAATAATTTCAATAACCTTTTTATGCTACTTATAAAGATTAATTGCTTAAGTGTATAAATAAATCAAATATGAATTTATAACTTTCATTTTCTCTTGATTAGGTACTTTCCTTCTAACTAATGCAATAACAATCAACAGCCGTATCAAATTAAAAAAATATTTTATTTTAATGTAATATTATAATTACTTTTTAATTTAAAAATAACTCTTAATACTTTTAAATAAAAAAATATCATGTTCCACATGAATTTAAAAACAAACTACTATAATAGCTTAATAACCCCACTGAAACATGCACATTATTAACAGGAACAACATATAATATTAATAACATTATTATCACATGATTGATATTTTTCAATATATTATTATTTAAGTTGTTTTGTAGAAATATACTATTATATAAACCGAAATTGGGTGAAAATTAAGAAAAATATAATATTAAAATGGACTTTCACAAAAAATATATAAACCAAGTTATAAATTTTAAACATTATATACCTACAAGATAAATCGGTTAGACATTATGAAAGCGTCGAAATCACATTGGAAACGTTTAAAAAATCCAACCTCTAATATTTTTACAACTTCAACACATATTGAAATATGGTCCTTTACTTATATAATATAAATTAAAAAATGTTGCTGTCGCATTTTGCGTATTTCTGGTCGTACATAACCATATTTAAATGCGTCAGTGCTACTCGTAGCAAGCTAGCAACGTGCAATAAGCCGCGCAAAAGGGCAAGTTCACGAATGCGCGCCAAGGTTGCTTCCTGGTGCGCGCGCGACGATGCGTTACCGACTTATCATTACTACTGTATTATGTAAGAGCCATGTAACACGTATAAAATAATATTCGTTTATAAGGTATTTCTTTTATAATGCTTCGTAAAATAGACTTCAAAACATTTTAAATATCGCTAGATATAATAAGCTTATAACTTTATATCAACAGTAATATTAACTATAAACGTACAAAATGTCATTTTTTAAAACTAACAAACACTTGGCCATTCATTAATGATTAGCATATTCAGTATTCCTACATCCATTTTCAATATACTTACATTACAAATATACCATTTATATATTTCTATATAATATTATTTTAATTTATTTTATTTTTATTACTATTACCGTTTAGTGACGTCGTAGGAAAATACACAATCCCATGAGTGTCGTAAGAGGCAAAAAAATGAAATAAGAGAGGAACTCAAAGTATTGAAAAACTGCATTTGCTAACACACTTGTATGGATAATATCCCGCTATTAGACAAACTGTGAGGAGGCCTATGTATAGCAGTGGTCATCTGATAGGTTTTAATAAGCGAATGAATAAAGGAATGAAAAAAAATATACATTATAAATAATAAAAATTACGACTTTCTTAATTTCCATATCTATTATTTTCCCAATAGCTCAAGTCTCCGTGCAATTTTCATTTTAGGTCATAGCGTTTTTTTGCTAATCATAAATATTTTTCAAATATGTTATAATTTTTAATATGCATATTGTTATTTATAGGTATAACATACAATTAAAATGAAGTGAACGAAAAACATTTTTGAATAAAAAACAATATTCAGATTTCAAAAAAAATCGTGTTTATATGCTTTACTGAACCCAAATATCACAGTGCTGATATAGAACAGCATTGCCATTGCAGTGTCACCGGTTCTGCGCTGACCACCAGCACGTGGAGTATGTTTAATTGCCATTTTTCTTTTTGAGAAAATGCTTGTTTTCTGGAGGATTCTTGAATAGGCCCGCTTACTATGTCCGTTGGGAAATCAAAATAATTTTCTAATGCGTAATTCATTATTTATCTGCTTAAAATAAATATTTATTGGCCTTAATGAATTTAATATTCAAAAAACGGGTCCAATAAAAAACGCTTACAAGTTGTGACTTGTGGTACATATAGTGCGATAATGTGCCTATAAAGTTATCAGGGCCGCAAAACGAGTCGCGTGCGCAGCTAACATTACGAGGGCATTACGCAATATGCGAATACCGATAAGTTACGTGCAATAATCACCAACAACCCTCATCGATGCATATAATAAAATTTACAAAATTACACGGCTAAAATTACAAGATTAATTAAATCGCACACTCTTCTTATCAGTTATCCTATTGATGTAGGCACTGTTTATTAAGTCACTATTCGTACAAAGATTGCGCAAATACGTTAAGATTATAGCCGAAATAATTATTTGGGTATTTAAATATTTTGTCTATGATAAAGAAAGAAGCCAGTCCTCATAAATACAACGATGATACAATATCATAATTTATGAATGTTTTATTGAAATTCCTTATACAACTTTCTATCCCACATTAAAGAGTTTCTTTTTCTTTATAGGATAGGGTGACAAACGAGCACACAGTCCACCTAATGATAAGTGGTTGCTGTGGTCCATAGACATCTACTCTATCCTCGTTTGCGAATCAATACGCAGATGCGTTGTCACCCGTGAGGCCTAAGATGGAATGCCTCGTTTCCAGTAAAAAGGGTCTCCGGATCTCTGCACTCACCATACGAAACACAGCAGCATTAAGCTGTTGTTTTACGCTGGTGTTCTGTGAGAGCGTGGTCCTTCCTCGGTCGAGCCGACCCAATCGTGCTTCAACTAATATAGCTGCAGCATGGCTCTACTACGTATAAAAGTCTTCTTCAGTAATCAGTAAAAGGCCACAATACTGGACTTTCTAAAGAAGATTTGCCTTAATCATCATGCTTGGCAGGCGGGTTGGCGATCTTAGTACCTTTAACGTCGGTTCACGTAACCATCTATCAGGCCTCAACGAATATTCATGCTTGGCAAGCGGGTTGGCAATCGCAGTTTTTTTATCTTAGTCATTATTAGGAGGACATCTGATTTGTTTCCTTTATCGCCTCTTACAACTGCGGGATGATATGGGGTAATGAATATTCTTGCACCGCCACTACACGTTAATCTATTTTTTTTATAGTATACGGTGACAAACGAGCACACAGTCCAGCTGATGGTAAGTAGTTGCTGTGGCCCATAGACATCTACATTTATTCTCGTTTGTGAATCAAAATGCAGATGCGTTACCACCCGTGAGGACTAAGATGGAATGCCTCTTTTCCAGTAAATAGGGTCTCCGGTTCTCTACACTGACCATACGAACCACAGCAGAGTTAACCTGCTATTTTACGCTAGTATTCTGTGAGAGCGTGGTCCTTCTCCGGTCTAGCCGACCCATTCGTGCTACAACTATACTACTAATATAGCTGCAGCATAGCTCTATCACGTATAACGTATTTATTATATATCTATAAATATGAGATAATTTCTTGCATTCCCCATAGTTTCTTCAAACGGCATTCATTTTTATTAACCATTGTGTAGGTAGCAACGCCTTTTTCCTTTCGCTTTGTGATCTAGTAGACCATAACTTTATGAGTTGGTTCGAATCCTAAATATTTGAGTATCGATAGATCCATGTAATATTAGACATCTCTGTGTTAGATGGTAGCACTCCCTTTCGCCTAAATTTATGTCTAGGAAGATACCGCTCCCTTTCCTATTTTGCCGCCAAACAGCAGTTTTTACGTGGTAGAGCCACGCTGTAGCTATACTGTGGTTGCAGCACGAATGGGTCGGCTCAACCGGGGTAGGACTACGCTCTCCCAGAATACCATAGTAAAATAGCAGCTTAATGCTGCTGTGTTTCGTATGGTGAGTGTAGAGAACCGGAGACCTTTTTTTACTGGAAACGAGGCATTCCATTAATTCTTAATTGAGGATAAATGTAAATGTCTATGGGCCATAGCATCCATTTACCATCAGGTGGACTGTGTACTCATTTGTCACACTTTTTCTATTAATAAAAGTGCGTGCACACAGCACAGTTGTATTACGAAGGGTACAGAGAGCCAGTATAGTTGGTTGGCAGGTACAACACTTCTTTAAAGTTGACTTAGCCTGACTTAGCCTTGGGAATCGTGCGGTCCATGGCCCTGTATGGGGCCCCTGTGTGGGCGATGGACATGACGGCCAGCACTCTCGCCATTCTGCGTAAACCGCAGAGGGCGATGGCCGTCAGAGTCGTCCGCGGGTATCGCACGATTTCCTACGAGGCGGCTTGCGTCCTGGCCGGATCCCCGCCCTGGGACCTAGAGGCGAAAGTACTCGCGTCATTATATCGATGGCGCGAGGAAGAGCGGGCACGGGGCTCGAGGCCGGTGCAGCGGCAGATCGCGCTGCGCCGAGAGGAGCTCCGTCAGGTCTTGGTGGCGGAATGGCGGCAAAGGCTTCTGCGCCCTACCGCCGGCCTCGCTACCGTCGAGGCGATCCGGCCAGTACTCGACGACTGGCTCGGGAGAAGGCACGGCTCCCTGTCGTTTAGGGTGACGCAGGTGCTGTCGGGGCATGGCTGCTTCGGCAAGTACCTGCGCCGCATAGACAGGGAGCCGGACGCTCGGTGTCACCACTGCGTCCATTGCGGGGAGGACACGGCGCAACACACGCTCGCCGAGTGTGTAGCTTGGGAGGAGCAGCGCCGTGTCCTCACAAATAAAGTAGGAGGCGATCTGTCGCTGCCGGCCTTAGTGCAGAAGATGGTCGGTAGCGCAGAGTCGTGGGATGCAGTGGTGTCCTTCTGCGAGGACGTGATGTCGCAGAAGGAAACTGCGGAACGGGAAAGGGAGATCTCGACTCCCTTTCCTGGCCGCAGAAGGCGCACCGGGCGCAGGAGAAGGGCGGACAACGCCCTTTTCCGGCCCCCATAAATGGGTCCAGGGGCGAGGGACTTGGGGAAGCCCCCGCCACCCCTACTCGATGGACCCGAGGCGGAGGCGCGCGCGGGTTTCGGTGCGCGCCCCTGAGGCGATAAACGGGGTAGTTTAACACCTCACTACCCCGTGCAGGAGACGAGGCCTGGACGGACCGGGCCAACACTAGTGTGGGGCTGCGGAAGAATTTGGATTCCCGCGGCCCCACGCGCACGTGTGAGGAGACACCGGGGTGGTTTTAGCCGGTAAGAGTCCGGCACGCCCCTCCGCCTTTCCCCAGGCGGAGGTAGTCCATGAGGATTTCCCCCCGTAAAAAAAAAAAAAAAAAAAGCCTGACTTAGCCTGTGGCTGCAGTAGCCACTTACCATCAGGTAAACTGTAAGTTCGTTAGTTACTTTAATTTTATTAAAAAAAAACGGCCAATAGTATCCAAAAATTGGGATAAAAATTGGTCAGGAAAACATCATGAGACAAATTTAGAAATAATTAATGTACGTTTTCAAACCAATATTTTTACATTAAACTTCTTTATGTAAAGAGAAATTAAGTCTTGTAACTGCGAAATGGCTGCGAAGGCTGAATGGTAACATAACACTTATTTAACTATGCGATGTTTACAATTTTCAAAAAGCATTAACAGCGTTTCGGTTGTGTTACGCAATCATTTCAATGTGAAATAGCCAGTTTTAAAAACAAATGTTTTTATTCCCATTGAAACTGTCATTGGCTGCCTGTTTTAAAACTTAAAAATCAGCCTTTTTTTATTCGTAAAACAAAATTAGTTTTATTACAATTACAACATTATTTTCATCAAATCAAGTGAGTTACATAAAAGTATATATATAATATACACTTGCAACTGATGATTCTCCTAATTGGGAATAAGTTGACTCCAGAAGCAATGAGAAAATTTCAGCAGTTATGATCTAACAATTAATGTAGCTTACAGCCTTATCAAAATTAAAGTACACTAGAATAGAAAGTGGAAGCAAACATAGTCTTATTAAGAATAAGAATTTAAAAAAAATATTCGTACATTTAATACAATATTTCAACGTACGTAACAGTTGTTAAACGTTGTTTTACGTATCATTTTGCCAATTTGGCAAATATTCAATGCACTGTTGAACAAAATATAGTAGTGTAATAAAAATCAGCTTCAATTTACATGACTGTGACTGAATTGACATGACTCTGATTTACATGAGGTATTATATACTCTGATTTACATGAGGTATTATATACTCTGATTTATATATTGCCTGAATAATCGTTGATATTATGAAGAAATAAAAATAATATTTGTTCTTTTTTTTCAGGTACACATGATCACAATAGACAAAAAGAAAAAGCTGAATTAACCAACTCCACTAAAATGAGACTGGTAAGAAAAGTGTATTTTAATAGAAAAAAGTTCATTTAATTTCAATTAAATTAAATTCTATCTACATGTAAGCTACTAGTGCCAGACCTACTAATAAATTATTACATCATTTAGAAGACTGGATCGTATTAATAGAAATTTTTCATTCTCATAATTATTTCTTTTCATTAAATTATTCTAAACTTTATTTTAAGAACTTTTTTATTTTGTTGATGGATGATAAACGAGTAAACAGTCCAACTCATAGTAAATGAATGCTGTGGCCCATAGACATCTACATCTGTTTTCGATTAGGGATCAAAATATAGATGCGTTATCACTCCTCTGGACTAAAATGGAATGCCTCGTTTCCAGTTAAAAAGTTCTCCGGTTCTCTACACTCACCATACGAAACACAGCACCATTAAGCTGCTGTTTTACGCTGGCACTGTGTAAGAGCGTGGCCCTTCACCGGTTTAGGCGACCCATTTGTGCTACAACCATTATAAAGCGCATCGTGGCTCTACCACGTGTAACAAAAGTGTGGGAAAGCAATTAACTCTTTACTTTGAAAACAGTTTGAGTAATACAAAAAAATTGCGCAGTTCTTATCAAATAGCTTTTAATTATCTATCCCATAAAACTTCCAGTTCTTAAACTCACTAATTATAGAAATTAGTGAGATTTACGTGAAATTATTCTAAAAGAAAACGTTAATGATAGACAGATAGACACCGAAGTGATTATATAAGTGTTCAGTTTTGCTAATATTGGCAAGGAACACTAAAATGAAATATGTTGCTAATAAATGCTTTGCGAAAAATATAAATAGGCGTTCGGGGAAGTGTTGGTGCGCAGTGGAAAGAGCGCACTTATCACAAAACTAGGTCAGTAGTAGCACCGCCCCTTTATCGAACACCACTATTTGCCTCTTATTTAGCTAAAATAAGCCCTTAGCGTCAAAGCATAAGATTCAGATTATTTAAACATCTCAAAAGTGCAGACGGATGTAAGGGGTTAAATGCAGTTCATTTGCATATTTTTGACTCTATAATTGATTTAAGGAATTACCTATATCTTTTTTATATAATAACATTTGAATTAATCAGACAAAACGTGCGCTCTGTAGAGTCATTTGAAAATATTTTATATAGTGCACAATTCGAAATCAAAAATTTTCAAAACATTTAAGTAATATTAATTAGAATTTAGTAGCAAAAATATTATATAAGTAATAAAAAATATTTACTCCACAGTCAACAAGCGAAGAAGTTCCCAGTACGACGGTGGGTGGTCGTGCGGGAAGTCCAGGCGAAACAAACGCAACAGCCGCCATAGCAGTAGCTGGAGCGGGTGCCTACGATGTGACGCGTATGCGTGAAGAGGAGTTTGAGAGGCTCACAGTATATATAGTACCCGATGTACCGTGCGAACGAGGGACACCCAACAGAGCTGAAAAAACCCTCCCACGAAGCCTGGCTCTGAGGCCCTCCGTAGTACTATCAACGCCTAATACACCGGTAAGAAAAAAAAGATATTTAATAAAAAAAGTTGGTAAAACTATGTACAAATATTGAATATAAACTAAAATATTAACTATCAAATCAAGACATTTTTGTCTATTTGGCTATTAACCTAGCACAGAAGTTTATAAATATACTTATCGTAAATACAAGTATTTTAATAACAGATAATATACTATATTTGCTATATTAGTAGTATAGTTGTAGCAGGAAAAGGTCGGCTCGACCGGGGAAGGACCATGCTCTCACAGAATACTAGCGTCAAATAGCAGCTTCATGCTGCTGTGTTTCGTATGATGAGTGTAGAGAACCGGAGACCCTTTTTACTGGAAAAGAGGCATTCTATCTTAGTCCTCACGGGTGATAACGCATCTGCATTTTGATTCTCAAACGAGGATAAATATAGATGTTTATGGGCCACAGCAACTACTTACCATAAGGTGGACTGTGTGCTCGTTTGTCACCCTATCCTATAAAAAAATACTTAATAAATATATTTAGGTCATAAAATATCTAAAATATATTTTTCCTGACAATTTAATTTTAACAAATATGCATTGCAGACAGAAGGAGTCTGGAGCACCGGAGTAATTCCACGCGGAACACGTTTTGGGCCATTTGAAGGTACAAGAACACCAAACAAACCAAATGACAAAGTTTCCTGGCGATATTATTGGAGGGTGAGTTGTATAATAATTTTGAATTAACATTACAGCAATTCTCTTCACTTCGCTTATTTAATAATTTCCTCTACTCAAAAAGTTATCACAGGGAATGGTATTAAGGCTTATACATAGTAGCAAATACAAACCTAATGTATAATAATCCCGAAAGGGGTAAAGCTTCAATTCAAATTAAAAAATGCACAACTCTTCTCTAACTAACCTATTCCTCTCTATGTTGGGCCAGGTACAGGAAACTGTCAGACATCATACTTATGGAAATATTAAGGTGAGATTAGGCTTTAAAACTCTTTTTATTGGTGATGGTATTATTTTTCTAATAAAATTCTATTAACTTTGTTAATCTAGCAGTGTCATTATCTATACAAAGTCTATAAATAAAATGTGAATAATTTGGAATATAAGGTAATGTGATATAATAAAAACTCCAAAATGATGTCACTAGTACAAATTAATCCTAAATATTAATAACTCAACAAACGTTTGATACTCAAAGAAATACGTTATCTTCCGCGTCCTACATGACGAGTATGATGACATTGCATCTCGTCCTTGACTCCCATATATTATATCATGTTAGCATGTTGCTATCAGTTGCACGCGCATTGTAAATACCAAACACGTGCCACGTGTTCTCACTTAATGCCTTTGGACAAGCAATACTAACAGCAGCCTTTATTTTATGTACCACTGATGAATTTGGTTTACATTTACATGCTTTATAATAAAATAATTGGTTATTTACAGATATTTAAGGACAGTGATTACTATTACCTGGATGGATCAGACACGAGTGTAGCCAACTGGATGCGTTACGTAGCTTCAGCTTATTCACTTTCTGTAATGAATCTCGTCGCTTGCCAGCATCAAGAACACATATACTTTTACACCATCAGGTAACACATATACATTACACATAATAGCACTTATGTTGATCACTGAATTTACACGATTTTGTTTATACCTATTTTTTATTAATTAATTCATATTTTTACAGAGACATTATGCCGAATGAAGAACTTATGGTCTGGTATTGTAAGGACTTTGCTACCAGGTTAGGATATGACATTGATCCTGAAAGAGCTACTTATTCTATTTGTAAGTAAATAGCCGTTAAATATTTCTTATGAACAAATTAATAAATTGGTAAAATGTTAAAATTGTTTAATTTTATACTATATTTATTTTGTTTTTCAGGCAAGGAAGAAACAATAAAAAAAGCTTATGGCTTGCCTCCTGCACCAGTACACCCAGAGATAGCATTTAATCACATGAAATATGTATTTGGTTTAACAAACGCTAAAGAACTTTTAGAAACTGATGTTCCAAGTCGTAGAAGAAAACGTGAATCTATTGAAAAGCCGATACACGACAATTTTATAACACGTGAAGATCCCCGAATTGCGAATAAAAATGACAGGACAATTATAAGAACCGACGTATCAGCAAATATTATCCATCATAAATCAGATAATCAAATTGCCAACGATCACATACCATTGTCACCTAATGGTCTTATGCAACCACCCTCACCTGTTAAATTACATCATAGGGATAATCAAACATTGATTATTCATCAACATAAAGAAAGTACATCTCATGTGGTAATACATCAACTTGAAAACCCTAGACTACATGGCAATCGATCTCCCGCTCAAAATCTACATTTAAGAGACATGCGAGGGCCTTCTCCAATGTCACAAAATCACCAGGAAAAGCTTGGCAGTAAATCACCAGGTTTAACGCATTGTACTACCCAACACTATGAACATCAGTTGACTCCTAATGATGGATCAGTTAGATCAGACGAAGGATACCATAGCAATGGATATCATGATGAATTTACGCCACCTGAGGATTCCAGTGATTCAGACATAGAAAACTATGTATTAGATTGTTCAAATAAAACAAACGAGCCCAAGGAAACTGTTATAGTTCAAAAAATGGATCAAGATATGCACAGAAATGAATACAGAAAAGTTAAAATAAAAATGCCCAGAGCATACCAGTATCAGAACCATAAAGATATGGACTGTGAAAGTGAAAAGGAGTTGATTATTGCAGAAGAGGTGGAGAATACTTCACCACAAAATTTATCACCACCCAGACGTGACCCGGCTACATCAACTGTAATAGTGCTAGAGTCATCTCAAAATACTGTTGTACCTTTAAATAAGCCATATTATGAAGATGGTACTATTTCGCCTACACCGCAACCAGCCTTCATGCGTTATTCGCCGCCAGATACACGAATCTTGGAAAAAATATTAACTGGAAATAGGATCGATACCAATAACAATGACCCTAACCGTCGGCAACCCAATGCGACACCTCCGCCTTCATCTCCTACTGAAATGGCTTATTCTTACAAAAAGAGTCAAAGGTATGGCAATGCCTGCAGTCCAGATTCTAGTTCTAATTTAACACCCTTGCCATCATTGTTGCCATTACCACAACAACTGCCTACACCAAATGCAACATCAGTTTATTCCTCATCCCCACCACATACAATACCACATACAACGGAAATTCGTGAAATACGAGAAATACGGGAGATAAGGGAAACGCGATATGAGAGTCATTATCCTAATTATTCATATAGTTTATATTCACCACCAAACTCTACAATTATCACGCAATTAGGATCGCCATCTAGCACATATTCACCAACTGTGTCTTCCACGCATCAGTATGAAAGATCACAAAGTGCTCAAAGTAATCATCACTACCCTTCCTCAACAAGTGTTATAACACTTAAGAATTGCTCACAACTAAGCTTAATTCAGAATTCAAATGTGAATGGTCAACATGTACCACAACATGGAAGTATGAGCCCAGATGGTTCATGTGGTCTAATGGTTGCTCCAATGAGTCCCAATTCACAATCTTCTCGCGGATATAGAAGTCTTCCATATCCATTAAAGAAAAAAGATGGAAAAATGCACTATGAATGCAATGTTTGTTGTAAAACTTTTGGCCAGCTCTCAAATCTAAAAGTTCATCTAAGAACTCATTCCGGTGAACGACCATTTAAATGCAATGTGTGCAATAAATCCTTCACACAACTAGCGCACTTACAAAAACATCACCTTGTGCATACAGGGGAAAAACCACACCAGTGTGACATTTGCAAGAAAAGGTTCTCCTCCACTTCCAACTTAAAGACACATCTAAGACTTCATTCGGGTCAAAAGCCGTATGCCTGTGATCTGTGTATGCAAAAATTCACACAATTTGTTCATTTGAAACTTCACAAACGGTTACACACCAACGACAGACCCTATGTTTGCCAAGGTTGTGACAAGAAATATATAAGCGCATCTGGTCTCCGGACACATTGGAAAACTACTAGCTGTAAACCTAATAACATAGAAGAAGTTTTGGCTATAACCAACGCTGCTAACACTGAATGTATTGGTAAGTACTTTAAATGTAACTTCAAGCTTTTCTTTAAATTTAATTTTAACATTTTTTTTGTTAAATTAATAATTTTATTTTATACACAAACTGTAAAATCGAGAGGGAATAAAACCGAACGAAGTCTAGAGAGCAACTGCAGCTAACTGCACTTTCTCTTCGTAGGTGAACCGCAACTTTCACTTGCGCTCTCGCTGAACGCGACCGATTTCATTTTCGCGTGCACTTTGCAGGTACCGTCGATAAAGACTGCCACGATAGAGAGGGGCACGAAGCTTACGAGGTACACTCGGCGTCGCAAGGAGGGCTAGTGGGAGCCAGTGGGGCAAGAACTTTGGCGCACGGTGAGGGCCTACTGGGTGCTCATGCGCATTCAACCACACCGCACTTAGCGGGCCCAGGGCCACTCTCCCCGACGCACGCACCGGTCTACCGCACAATACATGGACCACCGCCACCGTCCGAACATGAGACACCACCTCAACACTACTCCACTGGAGGTGAAACGCGCCCCAGCGTCATAGAGTCTAGCCAACCACTCATCATTGAGTGCACCTGAGCCACATCTGTATGTGAAATAGTTGGACTTTTAATACCCCGCCGTATCATGTGATTTCAGTCTTGTGATCAATTGATAGTATTTTTTTAAAACTTTGAAAGAGACTATCGTGTGACTGACATTTCGTGTTGTCTCTATTAGTGGCTATGAGATTATGATATGAACATTAATTTGTAAATTTGTAAAAACTATAATTATAAGTATGTTACGATGTCATTAAGTACTAAGTACTTACCTTAAATTTCATAATTACTAGTAAGTATAATAAAAAATCTCCTTAGACTTTTAAATAGTTAGGTTTTCGCTGCCCTTTATGTTAATGCTCAATTTTGTATGTTATAGTAAATTTCTATTGTAAATAGATTTTTTTTCTTATAGATATTATTTAAATTTATAGAAACTTTTGTACATATAGTAAAATGTGCATGTAAATAAAAACTCGTTAATATCCCATAAAACGGTATTAATACTGACGAATGTTACTTCTATTTAATTTAACCTAATATAATAATGATTCATTTGTTGATGTTTATGCCATCTTCAACATTTTTATCTCACCAAAGAACAGCCTAACAACTCTTCTTACTATTTGGCGTTTGAAAATTTCTACGCCTGTGTAATTGATTGATATAACTATTAGATTTTTGTTTGTAAGTGTGTTAGTACTTTTTGAAAAATCAAATAAAAGATGACTCAATCTCTAATTAGTGGTAAGGTGCCAAAAGTGCATTCGTATAAATTTTAAGTTATCCTATGGGAAAAGAATTCATGTAGTATTTTAAATTATTGTTCCTAATTAATAATTGGAGAGTAAGCGCATATGTGCTTCAATTTAATTCTAATGTTATTAAGAATAGAATCGATAAATTGTGTACATTATCCCTACGCTAGAACAAATGGTGCTTCACATCGTAGAGTAGTAAACGCTCGCGTCATTGCCCTCGTGGACAGACGGACGGACAATTACTACAGGTAATGTTAATACACCGACTTTACTAGTTACTATAATATAATTAAAATTTCAAATAATTATGATTCTCCTACTCGAAAAGGCTGACATAAAATTCGTAATGAAACGATTGGCTAATATTATTCTAAGTATGGGTTTGCATCACGTGTATAAAAGTTGACGAAAAATATATAACTGGACTTAACACATTAAAGTTACCTATACGTGGTGTAAAACCAAACAATAGCTTTTTCTATATTTCTATTGTATCAATAAGAGGTTTACACGCAATTACTTATAAATTTACTGTATATTTTATACCTACTTTTTACCGACAGAGATTACATTTTTGTATTAACTTGAAACCATTAAAATTTTGATGCTCTGAAATCATTTCAATAATATGTATGAATGTTATTTGTATCAAGAATGTTATAAAGGAGCGAAGGTAATGTCCTTGTATAAATATGCACATTACATAAATGTATAAGTGTACTTTATTGATATATGTGTTACATACAATAATGTATATAAATATATCTGCTGTTTTAATTTTTATTCAAAACATTGAAAAATGACGAACGAATATTTCAATAATCTGAAGCTTGAGTTCGAAAAAAGGAAAAATATGTATGTGTAATTGCCCAGCTATAATGTTTACTGTTTGTGATATATCATAAAGTAACAGATTTGACATCATTAACCATTAATATTTAAAAAAAATATCCTTTAAGAAAAATGGAGCGAAATGCACTTTATAATGTTTTGAAAAATAATAACGGTTACAGTTCAATTCAAATATAAATGTAACTATTAACGTAATCTTGTTATTAACTTCTCGCCATTCCTTGTTCATAGTTATATCTATTTTTGTTGAAGTTTTATAGACTCGTATTTTTGTACATTTATGTTTTATCTCAGTATGATAAATTGTTCGATAAAAAAGAATAATGTCATATATTCTGTATATGTTAGTGTAATGGAATTGATGTCGCACAAATTCACCACTAATGAAATGTAAAATCTATTTGTAAAGAAAAAGAATATAAGCAGTATTGCATTTATAAAGTAAACATTGACTTATAATTACTTCGCAGAAATTTACGCCATCGAAGACATTTATAAAATAAACATTGAATTAAAATTACTCCGCAGAAATTTACGCCATGAAAGATGAAAGTAAAACGTATGGATTAAATACTTTTTAGATGAAAGCAACGTTTCTTATGTTAATGCCCTAACTATATTTTTTTCAACTCAAACCAAATACGTATGAAATCGTATTAAAGCTTGTAGCGTTATTTTATACATGAGACGTAAATTATAGGACAATGTGCCAGAGCCAATTTCTTCCAGCCGGATTTAAAAATTATTTTACTGTAAATAATTATATGTTCAGCGGAGTATGTTTCTGCACCTATCAGTTTATCTATTGTTATTTATATATGTATCTTTACACTATTATTTTACTATGCAGGTAAAATTTTGTATCAGTCTTGTATAAAATGTTCTACCTAAAACTTAAAAGATAGCTATTTCATACATATTTTAATAAGTACAACTTAATTAATGGTACAGCAATATAAGCAATATTTTATCTCCGCATTTTATCAATAACTTCTACTACGATTAAACATATGTATCAAACGTGTATACCTTATAATGAGGCATCAATATACTCGTAAATGTATTATACGCCTGGATTACCTTTGTATAAACTATAAAGATCTGTAATTTTGTACACCTTGATCGATAATTAATTTACGTCACCAAATCCAATTAAAACAGGAGAAAAATTTTATATTGTAGTTTCAATAAAACTTTACACTCTACCTTATAAAAGTTTATTATACATAATTTACATTCCCTGTTTCGTCGAATTAAATTAAATTAAAATTAATTGCGGGGACATTTCAACGCACGTGTCAGGTCAGAAACCGTGTAGTGGCGGTGTAAGAATATCCCATATGCCATATCATCGAACGAGTGTCTTAAGATGCGACAGAAGAAAACTGAACCAGGTGGGCAGTAGGATCTTCCTTATAACAGCTGAATAAAAAAATGCAGTTGCCAACCCGCTTGTCAAGTAAATATTCCTTTTCTATAAGGCAATCTACGTTCAGTTTTTAATGGGCTGTAATCAGGTTAGTGAAAGGGCAGGGAAAATATTAACAGATGTAAGATTCATCTCAAAATTCCAGACGTGCATATTATCCAAATGTTACAATTAGGACAAAACGTAACAAGTTAGGAAAAACTAAAAATAGAGAGAGTAGAATAAAACTAATTTTAGGATCTTATCGCGCTTATTTTAAACTCTTTAATTTCCGACGTTTCGGGCGTTTTAGAAAAGAAAGAAGAGAAAAGAAAAATTATTTATTACATCAAACATCAACCCACATGTTACAAAAGATATAATTCACTACAAAACTTATAACTACAGATCAAAACAAAATTAAAACATAAATAAAGTCATTACAATCAAAATTTTATTATGTGTGTGGGTTTGGTATAAAAGGGCTACACTCAGCATTATTTCGTGGTATTATCCACGAAGCTGGTTTTCAGTGCGCCCTCTAGTGAGTAACGTACGGCCGAATATGCAACAACCAGTACCACTATTACGACCCTACACTTGTTGCACCTACCACACATAAACACATAGTGAGTAAAAAAAAGCGATTTACAGCGAGCGCTTAGCACCTGTGCTTTACAAAATTAATTAAATTTCACAGTACGCGAGTAACCCGGGTTCGATCCCCGCCGGCACCAATGAAATTGTTAATTGCAATGTTAAGTGCTGATTTACCACGTGCTTGGCGCTGAAGAAAAGCATCGTGAACAAACAACATCCTTACCCTGAATCCCTCTCAAAAATCGAAAGAGACCTGCGCCCAGCAGTGGGATGCATATAAGCCGTAACTTTAACAGCAGCCATATTCACGGGAGATACTAATATATTTGACGACCTAATGTTGTAGCGGATTGCCTTAATATTTAAAAGCTGACAGGCGTACAACGTCGCAGTCCCCTCCGCCCTAATCTGAGACAATATTGAGTTCATTGCACATTGTGCTGAGATCCTCTATCTATTCAGCCAATTTCTGCCAATTCGGTAAATCGAAGGTGAGTGATGTACTTGCCATTAATTTTGATACTTTATACTGTATCCTTTCTAGTCCAGTAATTTGAAAACGTGTTAAAGTGCAACAAAAGAGTGTCGGTGATTATATAACGTCATCCTGTCTCAGAGGGGTACCTCTCTGCAGTGGGATAGGTACAGTAATCTGATTTTGTACTAGCCAGCGTAGCCCTTTTGTTTATTGTTTATACTTCAGCTTTTCAGTATACCGACAGTCAACTTGGGAACGGTAAAGAGACTGTAGTCAAATTTCTCTGCTTCACGACACTCTCGCAGGTTACTTGACTTCTCTACACACTTATATATTCGTTGACATCTAAACTGCACTATCGACCTCCGATCTGAGCAGAGGGTGATGTGGCGATGCTGTCGTCGCGCCACGAGCTAAAAACACGAAGATGTTTTAAGTGACCAATAGATATTTAATAATGAAATACGTCATAGAAATCTATTTTGACATTCGGCTTAAATATAAACGTAAACTTAATAATTTAAGTAAAGAAACTTGTAGGAACCGGTTAAATAAGATTGTTCTGTTTAGAGGACCAAAAGTTTAATTTCTAATAAATTTGTTTTACATAAAAATATTCATTTTGAAATGTTTTACTAGTGTAAATAAAAAACGGAGCCACTATGTACACAATGATTGTTTTATTTTTTATTAAGAATATGTTAAAAAAGAAATTCCCAGGAAAAACTGTACATTTATACAGAAATTGTTTAATTTTGTGGGTAGACTCACCTCTTCAGAGGTTATCGCGAAATCGCGGTTCGGGTTATTCCCGGTAACACATTTTTTGAATGAATAAAAATATTATTATTTATTTTAGAAATATCATGGTAAAATTTCAGTTAATTTTTAAAGTTATTCAGTTTCGTGTACTAAACTAATTATGTTAAACCAGTTGCAGTACTGTAGTCTCACTGCAATCTTTATAGATAGTCTTTATAGGCAAAATATACCTCACTAGCTGACGCACGCAATGAATCAAAATGTGTCACGCGTTTTCGGCTATCAGGTCATCTATACGCCTGTATATAATTCAAGTCTATGGATTACATACTCTTTGACGGGTAAATTTAGTTTAAAATTATTAATTTTTTGTCCAACCTACGCAGAATGAGATTAATTAAGGGATCCCAAGCAGATGGTAACACCCATCCATCTTCTCTATTCAAATTAGGAATGATGAAATTAGGATGTTTTTGAATTTCAATAGCCTATCGAATCATCCTTGGTAGGAATCGGTGTTCTTTTGCGAGGGTTCGTGGTCTATCAAATCTAATGTAATGGCGGGGACTATCTTGAACATGTAGACTGCAGACTTCACTTCACTTTAGCTATATGTTCTTTTACGCGGGTTTTTATAGATATTTTTGTTTGTTATATGTAAGAGAGACCACATTCACAATGAAGCTTGTACACACCTGCTTCTTGTAGTGGAATATTACAATTGAAGGATGATAAAAACGTTGGGAATTAAATAGTTAAAATTAAACGCGATAAAGTCGGAAAAATTTGTTTCATTTATGTATTGAAGGATGTCAATATTTATTACAAACTGTCATTCGGAATTCAGAAATCTCATAGAATAATTACATACATACTTAAAGAGAAATCTAGAAATTCTTGATAAATACCGACATCAGTCAATACACTTGATTACATGATCAGTAAATACCACGGTAATACAGATGGACCACAGTATCTCCAAAACGTATAGCCTTCACTTAATGGTTGTAGAGCTTCTACTATAGACATGAAAAGTTAAAAAAAAAGATGGGCTAGGATAGGGCCATTTTCGTGCTGTACTGCGCCTGACAATTTTATAACGGCCAAAATAGCAAGCCGTTGATTACACTGGCGTTCTCTACGTTTTAGTACATGTCGTCAACGTGATATCCATGGCCATTTTAACAGTTGTGTATCGCTAGCAACGCAAAGTCGGGAATTTGCATTTGGAAAAATCCAAAATTAGGGGCTTTTTAGGTGCTAATTAGGTGCCAAGTTTGAAAATTAAGTGCTCTAAAATTTTCACCGCAACGAACTGTTGAAATTTGCGTTGCTGGCAAAACGTATCACTGGCAACGCAACGAAGTTATTAGATATACGATAAATTTTAATAGCAAGGAATTTAGTGCTAATTAGGTGCTGCAAGTATACGCAATGACAAGGCGCCCCTAATAAAAATTAGTTGCTCTAAAATTTTCACTGCAAGGATCGATTGAAATTTGCGTAGCTGGCAAAACGTGTCGCCAGCAACGCAATGACGTTACTAGACATACGATAAATATTAATAGCAAGGAATTAAGTGCTAATTAAGTGCTGAGCGATTATCGATACCCGATACAGATTAAGATATTATTCTGAGAATTATGGGGTCCACAACCAACATTACCTTACCATAATGTATGAACGGTATTTTTTGTTCTTTATCAGTGTCTAAAAATGAAGTGCTAATTAGGTGCTGAAAGATTATTGAGGTCGCAAGGAGATGACGGTAATATTCTGGAAATTATCGGATTTAAAACCACCATTACCTTACTATAAGGTATGAACGGCATTTTTTGTTTTTCGGATTTAATAAAATCTATAATATTATTTAATATAATTATCAACCAAATAAATGTTACAATTCTTATTTTTAGACATGTAAAGCCTAAACTTTAGTGTACTAAATCGAAAGGATATTTTCTTTCCAGTAAATTGCTTTGTAATAAATAGCGCCATCTACAACGTTCTATAGTTCTAGTCATTTTATCGGATCAAAATCGATGGACTCTCAAGGTGGTAAGTACGATAGATGCTAGATGGCATAAACACAAAGACCTGATTTTTGCATAATAAGCATATTATGCTTTGCTGAATAATTTTCTGAATAACGACTTTATTTTTATCTGGGGCGCCTTGTCATTGCCTGTACTTGCAGCACCTTATTAGCACTTGATTCCTTGCTATTAATATTTATAGTAAATCCAATAAATTCATTGCGTTGCTAGGTTGCGATACGTTTTACCAGCAACGCAAATTTCAACAGTTCGTTGCGGTGAAAATTTTAAAGCACCTAATTTTTAGACTTGGCACCTAATTAATACCTAATTAGCACTTAATTTTTAGACACTGATAAAGAGCATAAAATGCCGTTCATACCTTATGATAAGGTAATGCTGGTCATGGACCCTATAATTCCTAGAATAATATCTTAATCTGTATCGGGTTTCGATAATCGCTCAGCACTTAATTAGCACTTAATTCCTTGATATTAATATCTATCGTATATCTAATAACTTCACTGCGTTGCTAGCGAGACGTTTTGCTAGCAACGCAAATTTCAACAGTCCGTTGCGGTGAAAATTTTACAGCACTTAATTTTCAAACTTGGCACCTAATTAGCACCTAAAAAGCCCCTAATTTTGGATTTTTCCAAATGCAAATTCCCGACTTTGCGTTGCTAGTGATACACAACTCATTTTAACTTGACCAATTTACACAATGTACACAATGTACATTGTGTAAATTGGTCTTTTCCGTTTTTCTCTTAATAACCACCGTTTCTCATTTTTATTTATTTATGTCATAATAATCGTAATAATTAAAGGACTAAATAAAAAAATGGGACTAGGGTGGACTTGATATTTTTTGGTATCCTAATCATTACGTGGCGTGATAAAATGTACTGGTACCTAAA